GCTTAGGAACATACCGGGTAGGTGAATCTTTGCCACTTATTGAAATCCAAAAATTAAAACGCTATTGAAGAATTTGGTCACCGTGTTCTTTTGGAGGTAAAAAGGTAACTGACGTAAAATGGGCACCAATGAACTTTTACTTCTTTGGGACAGATATCTATATTCAAGGCGGTACCATCACGAGATCTGAGGGGCACTTAACACACATCTGGAGTTTGAATTTGTTTGCCCCTGTTTGAGCAAAAAGTAATGACTAAGGAGCCTAAAGTTTTTACACAAATAAGCTCACCTACAGACCATCCCACCCTTAGCGTCTGATGTCGCTTGCTCTTTCAATTTTTGACATTTCAGATGACGAAATTTCCCCCCACCCCACCACCCCCGCCGGAGCGTGTGGTGTTCCACCGCCTACCCCAGCACATGTCAATCAAACTAGAGAAACAGATCAAAATCCAAAGGGGGGGGGGGGCAAGGCAGGCACCAACGGGAACGTAAACAAAGAAAAAGGTCACAGAAGAAAGCCAACAAGGATAGACCCTAGATAGATAGACCATCTGTTCCATAAATATCTATCCCATAGATAGATAGGGAAAGGCCATCGCACCCTTGGAATCTGATGCCGCATGCTCTTTTAATTTTTGGTATCTTGTGTGGGGAAATTTAGCCCCGACCCCTCACCGGAGCGAGTGGCATTCAACCGGCAACCCCGGCGTGCGTCGGTCAACATAAGGAAACAAACATACCAAAATAAAAAAGGAGACAAGGTCAAAAGGTGTGTGTGTGTGTGTTTGTGGTGCCAAGGTGGGACTGATCCGATCTCATCAGACCTCGCCCAGCCAGGTCATGGCTGAGATCCGGCATGGCTGAGATCATTCCAACCCAGCCCAGTTTAGTCCAGTTCGGTCCAGTCCAGTCCAGTCCAGTCCCGTTCAGTCCAGCCAAGTCCGGTCCAGTCCAGTCCATTCCATTCCATTCCATTCCATTCAATTCCGGTCCAGTCCAGTCCAGCCCAGTTCAGTTCAGTTCCGTTCAGTCCAGTCCAGTCCAGCCCAGTCCAGTTCACTTCGTCTTTCTATTTCAGCTTTTAACGTTTTGCTTCGTAACTTACGAACAGATAAAGGCTGGGGCACCGTGTTCACACGTCCAACGGTGAGACGGTGCCGTGTTCACACGTCCAACGGTGCGTAACAGGGTACCGTGTCCACACGTCCAACGGTACGAGGGTGCCGTGTCCAGGCGTCCAACGGTACGAGGGTGCCGTGTCCAGGCGTCCAACGGTACGAGGGTACCGTGTCCACACGTCCAACGGTACGAGGGTGCCGTGTCCAGGCGTCCACCGGTCGGGTGCCGTGTCCACACGTCCAACGGTACGAGGGTGCCGTGTCCAGGCGTCCACCGGTCGGGTGCCGTGTCCACACGTCCAACGGTACGAGGGTGCCGTGTCCAGGCGTCCACCGGTCGGGTGCCGTGTCCACACGTCCAACGGTACGAGGGTGCCGTGTCCACACGTCCAGTGGTACGAGGGTGCCGTGTCCAGGCGTCCAACGGTACGAGGGTGCCGTGTCCAGGCGTCCACCGGTCGGGTGCCGTGTCCACACGTCCAACGGTACGAGGGTGCCGTGTCCAGGCGTCCACCGGTCGGGTGCGGGGACACCGCACGGCGGCCCCGTCGAGGCACACGTCACTCAGCCAACCTCCGAACCGGCCGTCTTCAAATCCTTAGGCTTCAATCTCATTGCATTGCATTTTATGAGTACAAGGTTGTTAAGATGCTCGCATATCCATCGTTCGCCAGCGGAGAGCAGTGATATAATGACACATTAAATACGAATGTGGATGAGATCAAGATGTCAATGAAGTCCACGGTGCTGTCGGCTGTGTCTAATCAAGGCGTTTTAAGCAAGGCGTTTTCAGTTTTTTAAAGCAGCCCCTATCTTTTAAATGGAACCGACACCACCTTGACGTCACCGGAAATTGGTCTATTTGTTACGGTCATTATCACGCGCCCGGTAGGCCGGCTGAATGTCACAGGCTGGGGCAGGGGTCCATTTGATCCCCTGAGATATCAAATACTAAAAAAGCTAGACACTCAATTTATAGGGTGGGTTGGTCGGTGTGTAAACTCACTTGCATAAGAACCTGAAGTTCTTAGATCATAACATTCGGGCCAAACGAGCTCAAACAAGGTAAAACACGGTCAAACTCCAGATTGGTACCTAATTTGCCCACTGACGTCATCATGCAACTTCCTCATGCAACCTTCCTTATGCAACAACCGCTTTGAACCTTGTTGCCCACTCTAAGCAAGAAGTCAGTGGCGTCAGTTTTAGTGCAGGAACTTTTAAGACCTTTAAAGAGTCATCGTGACTAAAGGCCTACGAAATTGTTTTGATTTTCATTTGAATAAGCGTCAAGAATGATACTAGGCGGAAGATTCCCCAAAAATGTTGATGTGGGCCATTTTAGGTCAGTTACCTATTTATGACCTTTTGTAAGTGCCTGGAAGATATCTGCTGCGTTCCTTGTTATCAAGAAATGCACTATACACTACATCAATGAGCACGCTCTGCAGTAAAAACTGACCTCGTTCTAACATTTGTACCTGATCCAATGCAAACTAAATTTGTCGTATCCTAAATTAAGTTGTTTAGCTAGCTAGGAAAATATCTAAGAAATGTATCGATTCGTTTGAACTCCGTTTCCCCATTTAATCGTACAATTCAGCTGAAATTGCCTACTCTGACAGCCACGGCCTAATCTCGACCAGCTTTAGGTTAATGATCTTACAACGTATATATATATATATATATATATATATATATATATATATATATATATATATATGTATATATGTTAAGTTAGCGACCTCACAAAGTATATCTAGTTTTCTTATACCAGAAGATCCGCTGTTCAATTGCGTACAGGTAAGCAAAGAATGGCGTACGTGTTATTCTATGATAACAGCGTTTTGAGTGAGCCACAAGTGCACATACCGGCCAGCACCAGCCTACTCCCTTGATTCCCAACAAGAGTCTCGGCTTAATCCAAGTGCAGGCCCGGGATTCGCGACGGCAAGCCGTCTCAGAAGCTTCTACCCGGTGAACGCGGCTAGAAGCTGGAATGCAGATCCTTTGGACTCGACCTGGCTGGCCTATTCTCGGGGAGGTGACTCGACATGGCTGGCCTGTTCTCGGGGAGGTGACTCGACCTGGCTGGCCTGTTCTCGGGGCGGTGACTCGACCTGGACGGCCTGTTCTCGGGGTGGTGACTCGACCTGGCTGGCCTGTTCTCGGGGAGGTGACTCGACCTGAATGGCCTGTTCTCGGGAGGCGACTCGACCTGGCTGGCCTGTTCTCGGGGACGTGACCCGACCTGGCTGGCCTGTTCCCGGGGAGGGAGCCTGTCAAGTGAACCCTGAGGCCCCCGGGGTGCCGGGCTCATGATCGAGTGGCGCGGAGTTCGAGCCGCAGCCCCCTCACTTACGTCACTCACTTACACACACTCAGCTTACGCTCCTACAATCGACGGAGGGGACATTCTGCTGCCATGCTGGTGGTCTTTCCGATCGCATTTGTCGCGGAGCGGTCAGAAGGCAAGCGGCGTCTGCGCGGGGCAGAACAGAGCTGGAGCGACGGTGCCAGCCCGGCCGACTGCAGCGCCACCTATACCGCGGAGCTACAGCGCTCCCTATACCGCGGAGCTACAGCGCTACCTATACCGCGGAGCCACGACGGGCGGCACCTGCTCGCGTTGGCAGCAGCTTGGCTGACATCAGACACCGCATCAGCGTTACCGCGCCAGTGCTGCCACAGGACCGCGGGTTTTGTGCGATGAAGCCCACAGTAGATCACAAGACGTGATGTCGGAGCGGTACCGCACGTACACACCAAAAAGGCTGGACAGCCGTCCCGCACACGTGAGAAAACCATTCGGTGCGTGGAGAGCGCCCGCGCGAGCGATGGCCGGAACTTGATCAGTCTCTGCTCCTCTCCACGCCTGGACGCGGAATGCTGATCACAGACCCATTCCGGCGTGCAGCCGGTGATTTCTGCAGTACGGCTGAGGTTTTTCTGAAACAGACGGCTTATCCAGCGTGCCCTGTCCGCAGCACTTAGCGGATGTAAACGCGACAGCCCGCTTCCGCCGGCGATCGTGGCAGACAGTTCCCTGTTGTGGCCTTAGCTTGACAATGCAGATGCTGGGTGGGTGGGGAAAGCTGCCACGTTGCGCCGCTCCAAGATGACAGACCTTTGCAAGGAAGTCTTCTACGGAATTTCTTTGTGTTGAAAGTTGTGGCATGAAGACAACCTTTTTCAGTTCGGCGCGTTGTTTTGCTACCTTTTCACGCACCAGGGTGCTTACGTTTCTCGAATGCTTTGACGTACCTGACTTACACGACTATCTTGCTCTCAGCTAGTCAGTTCGTAGCCTCCCTTTGCAAAGTTCATCCCCGATTCTAACCCACGCCGCGTGACCGGTCGCCGCTTTCGGCGTCGATTGTTGAGTTCTGTCCAGACGACTGCGGTCATCACCACCAGCACGTAACCGCCATCACCACCCAAACACTACCGCCGCGCGCGTAGTGAAGGGTGGCACACGCGCCAGCTGGTGCCACAAACGCTGCCGTACAAACTGATGATGCCTTTATCTGGGACGAGGTACAAACGGGCCGGGCACACGGCAAGAGCCGCCAGGAGCAGCGACGCCCAACCCTGGTCTGAGGACGCGGCCCGGATGCTGGCCGGCCGCACTGAGTCCAGCGGAGAGCGCTGACCGGGCCACAGCGGCGGCCATCACAGCGCTGACCGGGCCACAGCGGCGGCCGTCACAGCGCTGACCGGACAGCAGCGGCGGCCGTCACAGCGCTGACCGGACAGCAGCGGCGGCCGTCACAGCGCTGACCGGACAGCAGCGGCGACCGTCACAGCGCTGACCGCGCCACAGCGGCGGCCGTCACAGCGCTGAACGGGCCACAGCGGCCGCCGTCACAGCGCTGACCGGACAACAGCGGCGGCCGTCACAGCGCTGACCGGGCCACAGCGGCGGCCGTCACAGCGCTATCCACTGCCTGCAGAGCAGACATGGCCACAGCAAGGCGGCCGAACACAGCGCCATCTGTGCTCAACAGGACAACAGCGACCCCGCTGTCACTGAACGGCAACACAGTACTTCAACGCAACGACAGGCGTACGGTGCGGCGCACTACCTTTCCCGCTCAGCATAACACTAGTGACGCGGCATCGACGCAGTACAGCGCGAGGCGACCGCCTGGGCGGTGGTGGGTGTCGCGCGATCTTCTTGACTTTCAGGTAGACCGGGCGGGGGTGGGAGCGAGGCGCAACCCCCCCCCCCCCCCCCTTCCGCGCCACCGCCGCCGGCACGGGCGGCGGACAGGCGGCGATGCTGGCAGTGCTGGGGCAGGCTGCGTGGGTGGGCGAGGCGGGGCAACCCGGCGGCTGGCCGTGTTGTGTGTTGTGAGGACAAAAGCGGCGTTGTACGAAGGACTAGTGCGCACTCAGCGGCCAGTTGTAACAAAAATCGCTTCTTAGCATCTTCTCTCCTCAGTAACAAAAACTGGCCTCGAACAGTCAAGCTTCAACACGCACTCGTACAGATGTCGCTCTAATCGGCGGCCGCCACAGCAGTCTCGCCGTTTCCTCCACAGATGTCGCCACGACCGTCGGCGGGCGGCAGGGCCTCCAGACAGCGGAGGAGGCGACCGTTGGACTCTGGCGGTACGCGGTCTCGCAGCAGGAGCACCGCAGCGCGTGCTGCCTGCCGCACCGGCGCCGGAGCTGCGGGTCACAGACAGGTCACAGGCAGGTCACAGTGGGTCACAGGCAGGCCGCAGAGGGTCACAAGCAGATCACAGCAGGTCACAGTGGGTCAGACAGGTCACAGGGGGTCAGAAAGGTCACAGCAGGTCACAGGCAGGTCACAGGTAGGTCACAGTGGGTCACAGGCAGGCCACAAAGGGTCGCAGGCACGTCACAGACTCAGACAGGTCACAGCAGAGGGCAGAGCTGGGGTCGCAGCGTTCGCCGCAGACAGCACCACAATAGACACAGAGCAGATCCCCGGGAGTCGCAGAGGGGCATGCGGACGCGACGGACGCAGGGAGGCCTGTTGCCCGGCTCTGGTCCGCGTCTGGTCTGGTCCGGTCTGGTTTGGTTTTCCGAACGTTCCACCGGGGACATCCCGCACACTTACGTAGCAGTATTTCCCGAGAAACTGCCCGAGGACGCAGCCAACGCTCCATTTCCAGGAAATCTAGCATGATTCCATAAGACGCTGACCAAGATCAACCTCGTTGCCAGTAGCCTTGCACGGCAGTAAGCTCAACACATGACAGGGTGTCCGGGCAGCGATTCGAAGGCGTGAGCTTCGCAGACGGGCCAACGGCACCCCCGCCACCCGCGCCCCAGCCTCGCCGGCCCGCGCCACACGCCAGGTCTCTGCCGGGCGCCTCCTCCGCCAGCCGGGGGCGTACCTGGCTCCTTATGCAGGGCCACCCCCTCCAGTATGCAGACGGCCTCCTCCACAGCGCGGTCCGTCCGCTCCGGGTACAGCGCGGTCAGCTCGCCTGGCGGGAGAGGCGTCAGGCGTCAGCGGAGGGGCACACCTGCTCCGCCACAACGCCGCAGTAACTTCACCGGCCTGCCCACAGGTAGGTCGCCGCAGCCCCCTCACCCCCCCCCCCCAGCCAGCCGCCTGTAAGTCAGCCGCAGCCCCTCCCCCAGCGGCCCGTGAGCCGGGCGCAGGCCCTCCCCCGGCGCTCGTGAGTCGGCCACAGTTCCTCCCCCAGCCGCTCCCAAGTCAGCCGCAGTGCCGTCAGTCGATGACCCACCAGTGAGACGGAGGCAGGCGGCGGCCGCCTCCTCCGAGGCCTGGCCGTCGCGCCAGCGGGCCAGCAGCGGCACCACGGCTCGCTCCAAGGGACAGTCGTTGGTCCAGGCCGAGCCGCGCAGTGCCGAGAGCAGCAGCAGCGCAGCCCGCAGCTGCGCCCGCTCGTCCCCTGGAGGCCCGGCTGCCAAACAGAGGTGGCCACAGTCACCGACAGATGGCACCAGGGATGCAGCGCTGGGACGAGAGAACGAATGGGAAAAGGAGGGAGGTGTGGGAGATGGGGCGATACAAATGACAAGAGAATGCGACACGAATAATTCTAGACAATGGCTCCGCCCCTGAAATCCCACAAGACAAACAGCAAGGAAGTAGAGCATGAACAACTAGAAATCGGAAGCAAACAGGTAAGCGATGAACGCTAGGATGAAGACGAAAGGAATTAACTGTACAAATGTACAATATGCGACGCACGTAAATATATACGACGCAATAAAACGGCGGACTGTGACGGAAGGGTCACGGTGAACTGTCAAGGGAGGGTCACGATGGGCGACAAACGAACGAATCAAGAACGAAAGGGAGCGGCGCACGAGAAAGAGGTACACGGATCAGTACGCAAAGAGTAGCACAACACAACACAACACAGCACAGCGTCCGGCATGGCCAGAGCAACACGCCAGAGCGGCCAGCGGGCAGCGGCTCGCAACCCTCACCAGCTGGTAACGGCTGGCGCAGCGGGGAAGAGCGGACGGCGGACAGGGGATGGGGGACGGGAGGCGCGTGCCACTGACCGGCCAGCTGCTGCACCATCTGCAGCGCCCGCTCGTCGGGGTCCGTGTCGGGCCGGTACTTGCGGAAGTTCCACTGCAGCTGCGGCCGCAGCACGTCCATGGTCTCCTTGCGCAGGCCGGAGGCGGCCGGCTGGGTCAGCGCGTGGTGAAGCAGCACGTGCTCGACGGGCGAGATGTCGACACCTGCGGCAGGCGGGGCGGACGACCGGCGGCGCCGCTCAGCGACGCCCGGGTTTCGCTCGGGTTTTGGTGCAGGCTTGCTTTACAACTGTCGTCATGTCTTGGTGCAGCGCACGTGATAAGCGATGTCTAACACCGACGGTTTAATGTCTGTAGTCACCTGAGCTCACAACAGCAAACCCCAAGAACATTAGTCTGGCGGGCAGGCGGTGTTTTCTCTCACCCGAGGTCTTACTCAGAAGCAGGTTTCGCGCACCACATCCCCACTTGTAATCGAGAATAAAACAACATGTGGTGCGACTACAAGTAACCAACGTATTTTCATCGGTCTAGAGGATAATCCCCCCGCCACGCACTGCGCAAAACAAACACGTCAACTTCACCGAACAAACCACACGGTACCAGAACACAAATTCCGAAGGGGATATCGTTAGCCACAAGTCAACCACAACTTTCCAAAGCTCTCGAGGCCTCGGCTCCGCTGTTTCGCGTGTCCCCGTGAGGGCCAGGAGACCCCCCACAGCCGGCTCGCGGACGTACCGTGCCTGAAGTTGAACGCCTTGCCCCACGTGTGGACGGTGGCCAGCAGGAGCCGGTCGGCCTCGGCCGGCCAGAGCAGCGTCACGTCCAGCAGGAGGCAGCGGGCGGCGCCGGCGTCGCCCCGCAGCCGACACAGGGCCGTGTGCAGACGCACCAGCTGCACACGGCACGGCGCCTGCGACAGAGGGACGGGGGGCTGATACGGGGCACACAGGGTGAGACCGACATTGATCATGAACAGGCCATTCAAACGCCGATTTGCAGAAGTCCGAGCTGACGCCACTGCACTGTGATGAGAATATCGATAATAACAATGAAATGCTTGCCACAAGGACAGAACGACCGCCCAACGCCGTAGTTAACAACGCAAGCCGTTCTAAAAACCACGCTGAAGGCGCCGCCGACCAACGCCGCGGTGACGTATCTTTCCCACACCTTCCCCCGGCTGAGTCATCTTTCAAGCCCCAGCAGCAGCGACCGAGAGGCGTCGGCGGGCGCGACTCACGGGCAGCGTCGGCTGGCGTCGCAGCAGGTGTCGCCTGGCCAGCCGCTGCAGCTGCCAGCGCAGCTGCCGCCGGCCCAGCCGGTGCTGGTGCATGGAGGCGGCGCAGGGGCGCAGCAGGTCAGCCGGCGGCTCCACCGGCGACGGCTGGCGCAGCGCGTCGGCAGGCCGCAGCGCCATCTGGTGTACCACGTGACTGCCGACCGGCCGAGGGTCACGTGTGAGGGTGCGGGGGCGGGGAGGCGGTGCTGAGTGCCGGTATCGAGCCGCTATGATATGCGCAGTGTATAGTATGCGCAGTGTATATACATACAAATATATACATATCATATACATACATAGATACATACATACATACATACATACATATATATATATATATATATATATATATATATATATATATATATATATATATATATATACATATCATATATATATATATATATATATATATATATATATATATATATATATATATATATATATATATATATGATATGTATATATCCGGCTTCTATACTGCCGGCGCTCGGCCACGCACCTCCTTCGCATGATCAAGCCAACGCGTTCCCAGCGGCAGTCACCAGCTCTGACAATCGACTACGTATCGCCCCGGACTCCCATGTGTTCCCGGATTCCCGGATTCCCAACCCCGGACTCCCATGTGGGGCAGTAATCTCAACTGGTAATCAAAACTACCCTGCACAGCAGCCCATCCCGTAACGCAAGACATCGACACGCCTTGTCGCCACACCCCTCCGAAGCAAATGGACCCGTCCTACTGGCTGCCTCCCCTCACCTGGCGATGAACTCGTCGGTAGCCGGACACCGCCGCAGTCTGGCCATCAGCTGGGACCACTGAGTGGTGTCGGGTTCGGTGTCCCAGATCCGCGACACCAGGGCGGCCGGATCGCCGTCAGAGATCACGACCCCGCCTCCGGCCGCTGCCGCTGCCGGTGGGGAAGGCCCAGGTCACTCGGCCAGATCGCCGTCAGAGGCACGACCCCGACCCCGGCCGCCGCCGGTGGGGAAAGCCCAGGTCACTTGGACGGCACGCCGCCGCCGTCCTCTCATGAAGCGCAGCTGGGCGGCCTCCAACACGGCGCAGACAACTCATTCCGGAACATCAGCGCCATTTCAAGCAACGAAAAAACAGTGCAAATCATATCTTCAGCCGACCAAGTTCGAGTTCAACAGAAATAAAAACGGCGAAAATTCTAAAGAACATCAGGTAATTCAGAGACGGGATTGCAATTGCAGTACACCTACCTTACGAAAATAAAATGAGAAAATGTAAAGGAGCCACGCTTGAACACTGACGGCAGCAAGCTGAAATGTTGCGCAGAGTGCAGCCTCCTGTGCATCAGACATCCGCCTCACGCCGTCACCCGGCCCGTCCGAACATCGTTCACATCCCCACCACCCACCATCAGACGGAGACGCACCTGGCACCTGGCGGGCGTCTCTGGAAGCTGGAGGCACCCCTGCGGCCGCCGGCAGCCCTGGCCCGCCTTGACTGCCAGCAGCTCCGACCGGTGGCGTCACCGGAACGCCGGGAGGAGCCGGCGCCGCCGCCAGCGCCCCTCCCTGTCCGGACGCGGAGGGCGGCAGCGGCCCGCCGGGTCCAGGCAGCTGTCGCCGCCACGCGCCTCCCGCCGCCGCCGGCGCCGCGTCCAGCAGCTGGTAGAAGCTGGGCAGCTGAGGGGCGGCCGGAGAGCTCCGTGAGCGGCGCGAGGCGGCGGGAGGCGGCCGCGGCGCCGGTGGCGCCGGCTGGTGGCGCGGGGAGGAGACACGGTGCGCCAGGCGCGGCCGCTTGGCCGGCGGCCGCCAGTCCGGCTCGCTGGCCGCCTCCTCCGCCCGCGGCGGCGCCTCAGGCTTCACCTCCGGCGAGACTGCTGGCGAAAACACCGGCGGGACCGCGGGCAATCCCACACGCGATGCCGCCGTCGCAGCCACGGGCTTGACCTCTCGCTTCACCACCCGCTTGAAGCCAGGCTGCGCCTGCGGCTGAGCGGCAGCCGGCGCCGCCATCGGCGCTTCCCGAGGCCTCACCGAGTCAGCTCGTCGGAGCAGGCGCGCGGCCACCTGGCGCCGCCGCTGGGCCGCGTCGGGCGAGTCGCCGCCGACGCTGACGCCGCGTAGGCACGACTCACGAGGCCGTGTGGTCCACGCGCCGCCAAGCGGCTCCAAGTCCTCGGGAGGTCGCCGGCCGCGCCGGAGAGCGGCGGCGTCCAGGACCGGCCTGCCAGACCCAGGCCCAGACCCAGACCCAGACCGGAGAGGTCTGCCGCGTGTCGGCGGCGACCCCGGCGGCGGCGCAGGCCGCTGGTGCGCGCGCAGACGCGCCAGCAGGCGGGAGCCGCGCCCTGGCGGCTTGGCTTTCTCCCGACTGAGACGAGGGCGGTCCAGCCGTTTCGGCAGTGGCGGCGGCGGCGGCGCCGGCTCGACGGCGGCAACTTCGGGAGGCTCCGGAGCCTTCGGCAGCGGCTTTGGCGGGCCAAGAGACGGCGGTTCGCTGTCGTCCTCCTCTTCACACACCATGAGCTGGGAGTCGGAGGCTGGCGAGGCCGCGTCGGAGGACGGGCGGTCCTCCAGCGGCGGCGGCGCGGGCGACTCCTCCCTCTCCCTGGTCGAGGACGCCCTCCGCGCGTCGGGCGTCCTCGCGGTGCCGGTGCCGGCGGGCAGGGAGGCCTGCTCCACACCGGCTCCAGAGCCGACCGGCGCCGTCTCCTCGCCCACCGCACGCTGCAGCTCCCCTGAGCCCGCCTCTGACGCCGACCCGGACCTGCGTCCGCGAGCCGGCTCCGACGCCGACTCCGAGGTGCGGCTGGGACACGACTCGAGTCGCAGTGACCCGCGGGTGAGTCGAGAGACGCGTCCCGCCGGCGAGGGCCGCGGACGCAGCAGGGCCCCCACACCACACACGGCCAGGTGGCTCCGTACGGCCAGTGGCGGCGGCGGCGGCGGCTGGGCGTCGCTGGCCAGCCGGGGTTCCGTTGCTACCGGTGCCGGAGGCTGGACCGCGCTGTTCGCCGTCGAGGAGGCTGACGTCCGTGTTAGAGACTGGACACCCCCAACGAGAGTTGGAGTCAGCTGTCTAGCGGCGGAATCGGCCAAGGCTGCCGAGGTTGCCGAGACGGCTGAAGCCGCTGACGCAGCCGGGGAGGCTGGAGCTGGCCGAGCTGCCGGAGAAGCTGCTGGGGCCGATGAAGTCGTAGAGCCAGCCGGGGAAGCTGCTGAGACCAATGAAGTCGTAGACCCAGCCGGAGATCCCGCTTCCGAAGAGTTCGCCTCGAGCGCGGTCAGTCCGCCCCAAATGCCGCGTCCCTCCCACATGTCGGAGCCGCGCCTCCCCGACCTCGCCGGGGCGCGATCACCCGCGGCGTCGGCCGCCTGACTCTCACCACAGTCTCCGTCTCTTACGTGCCGGTGGTCCGCGGCGCTGCCGCCTGACACGTCCGCCCGCCGCCGCCCGCTGGCCGCCGCGCTGGGCTCCTCCACTGCGCTGACGTGGCGCCCGGCGGCCGCCTCGGAGCCGGCAGCAGGCCGACCGCTCGTCGCGTCAAGGTCACGCTCTTCGCGGCTCCATCGCTCCAGGATGGCCGCCGTCTTCTTCTTGGGTCGCCCGGCGGCACTTGGGCTTCTGCGGATCAGCGATGCCTGCGGCTTCTTAAGGGATGTCACGCCCTTCGGCCGTTTGTCTAGATCTGGACGGGAGGGGAGGCTGGAGGGTGGACTGTGATGACCGTCGCCGACGTTCGTGGCGTCCGCCTCCGCCGGCCGGGAGCACACCTTCTGCCCACTGCCAACCGCGGCAGGCCGAGAGGCCTCCTCCTCCAGCTCGTCCTCCACAGCCCCGTCTCGCCCCGAGCTCGCCCTCTCCACCTCAGCCGCGCCGCCGTCCTCGGCGCGCCGGCCGTTGACAGCGCCGCCTGGCGGGTCCGGCAGGGCCGGCGGCGTCGCCGGCGCAGCCACCGTCAGCTGTTGGCCGGCGCTGCCTGGCTGCGAGCCGGGCCGCGGCGCCGGGGTCGGCCGGCAGGCGGGCCCAGGGCGGGAGGCGGACCTAGCGCGGCCCGCCCGCGTTGGGCCCAGCAGCGCCCCGACCGAGCACACCGCCAGGTGGGTTGGCGGGGCGGCGGCGGCCGGGTGGACGGCACGGGCGAGCGGCGCGGGGCGTGGGAGAGCCCGTGTTGGAGGCTGGACCGTGCTGGTCGCGACAGGCAGAGATGTGGATGGGGTCCGTGTCGGAGACTGGACCACGCGGTTCACAGGCAGATGTCTTGCGGGCGTCCTTGACAGAGTCTGGGCTTCACTGTCCAGAAGCGCACTCGTCCGACCTGATGCCTGAGGCTGTACCGTCCCATTCACATGCTGAGACGTCAAAGGCGTCTGCGCCAGAGGCTGCACACCAAACCGAGCCGCGGACGGGGTTGGCGCCTCGCGAGGGACGCCGGCAGGAGACTGGACAACCTTCTGCCGTCTCCGCCCAGCCTCCGGAGTGCGTTCAGCGCCCTCCGGCGGCCGCGAGTCGTCCTCCACATCCAAGCCCCCCTGCCGCGCCTCACCGTCGCCACGTTCGGCGTCTTCTCCGAGCCGATCCGTGACGTCGGCCGGCGACCGGTGGCGCCGCGCTGCGGCAGCAGCCGGCGGCGAGCCCAGCAGCACCTCCAGCCGCTGCTGATACGCCAGCGCCGCCGGCGCCGGGCTGTGCGACGCCAGCGCCACCTGGCGAAAGCCGAGGAACGACTCGGTCGGCGTCTCCGGCCGAGACGGCGGCCCGGAGGCCCCAGAGGCCCCGGCGTCGCCGCCGGCCGCCGGTACGGCACTCGGGGCCTCAAGTGTGTCAACCACGCTGACTACGGTGTCTTCGGCGCCTGCTGGGGGTTCCCCAATGCATTCTGCGCCGTCACGCAGCACCGCTGGCGCGTCAGGCATGCTTCTGGCTGAATCAACGTCCGATGTACTCACTCTGCCGGTGCTCGCGCCGTCGTCACTGGCTTTCCCGTCGCTGACGTCACCCGCACTCGCTCTGACGTCATTCTCGCTCGCTCTGACGTCATTCTCGCTCGCTCCGACATCATTCTCACTCGCTCCGACGTCATTCTCACTCGCTTCGATGACATTCTCTCTCGCTTCGACGTTATTCTCACTCGCTTCGACGTCGGTCACTACTGCCACAAGCCCGCCCGGGTGCTGTTCCTCCGCCTCGTCATCGGATGAGATGACGGGTCTCCGAAGCTGGCGCCGGCGGCCGCCCCGCCGGCCGAACGCGCCACCGGAGCACCAGCGCGGCTCTTCCTCCGATTCGCCACCCGAGCTCCGCGCAGAGGCAAGCTCTGCTCTCGGCCCACAACTGAGAGCTCCGTCCGACTCCGGCTCGTCCCGAGAGTCTGACTCCACGTCCACGCGGTCTCCGGAGTCGGAGTCCGAGTCAGACACGCGGGTTGACTCCGACCCTCGGCGGCTGCGCGTCGCTTTCGCCGGCCGTCCGTTCCTCGCCGCCGCCGCCGCGGCGTTCGCGCCGGCGCGCCCGCCGCGTACTGGCGACAGCGCCGAGGCCCGGCGCAGCGGGCGTAGCCGGCGCCGCGCCGGTCCAGGCCGACCGTCCGGGTCGGCGCCCCGGCCGGCCGGCGCGAGCCCGCCGCACTGCCGCGGGGATCGGCGCAAGGGGGGCCGGCCCCGCCGTATGCCGCCGCTGAAGCCACCGTCAGTCTCGCTGGCCGCTTCGGACGGCGGTGAGGGGTGAGGTACGGGCCGGTTGACTCTCGCAGCCGGGGAGTCGCGGGAGTCGTCGGCCAACTGGGGCGATCGCGGCCTCTTCCGGCTGCTGGGAGCGGGCTCAGTGGCTCTGTTGGTGCGACTCGGTGTTGACTGCTCGCTGCCGGCCCCGGAGTGGTGACGTAGCCGCCCTCTCCCCGCCCTGGGCAGATCGCACCCATTTTCACCGCTCGATTCCACGACCTCACAAGCTACGTCACGCCCTGCTTCTAAGGCGCAAAGCTGCGCTTTCATGACTTTGTGTTCATCGTCACTGTCCGCTTCCCTGACACGGGACTTCTCGGCTGCCAAAGGCGGCACCCTTTCCTTGCCGCGACACGGACTATTCGTGTCTTCCCTGCCACCTTCAACATGGCGGTCAGCATCTTCACCAGCGTCTTCCTCCACCGGCTGTCGCGCCCCTGCGCAAGGACTATCGCTCGTCGCCGCCTTGTGCACGGTCGGCCGCTGGAAATGCAGCTCGCTGAACGCGGGCGCTCCCGAGACGGCGGATGGTGGCTCCATTTTCAGGGCGGCGACGGGCAGCGCCGCCGCCTGCGTCGGCGCCGGACCAGCCTCGCCGCCGCCACCGGCCCGCCGCAGCCAGTCCCGCTCCAGCAGCGCCTCCCGCTGCCGCCACCAGGCGGCGCCGAGCAGGCGGTGGCGCGGCTCCAGCTCGGCGTAGTTCGTCACCGAGGCGCCGGCCAGGCGCGCGAGGTCGGCCTGCGTGGCGGCCGGCCGCAGCGCGCCGCGCAGCAGCAGGCGGAGGACGCGGTGGCGTCGGGCGGCTGGCGCGCGCCGGCGCCGGCCAGACCAGTCGAACCGGCAGCCCCGCGACGGCTGGACGGTGGGCGCAGCTGCTGAGGGCGCCGTCCTGGTGGCGAGAGGCGCCGCTGGTGCTCCCGACGTGGTGGGGAGCGCTGCCGGCGCTGCAGCCGTGCTAACGGACGCCACCGGTGCTGAGAGGCTGGTGACGGACACCACTGATGCGGAGGAGCTAGTAACGGACACTTCTGGCGCTGAGGGGCTGACGAGGAGTACCACTGGCGATGAGGAGCTGGTGAAAGGTACCACTGGTGCTGAAGAGCTGGCAAGGGGTACCACTGGTGCGGAGTAGCTGACGAGCGGTATCACTGATGCTGAGGAGCTGGCTGAGGGAACCACTGGTGCTGAGGAGCTGGCGAGGGGTACCACTGGTGCGGAGGAGCTGGTGAGGGGTGTCACTGGTGCGGAGGAGCTGACGAGCGGCACCACTAGTGCTGAGGAGCTTGCAGCGGACATTGCTTGTGCTGCGGAGCTGGTGATAGGTACCAATGGTGCCGCACAGCTTGCAGCGATTATTGCTGATGCTGGGCCATCGACGGGCGCCACTGGTATTGGCGAGGCACTGACGGTGACCGCTGGTACTGGAGCGCTGACAATATCCAGCATCGGCGTGATAGGGTGACGGGGTCCATTCCCTGTCACTGCCTTTCCCTCCAGCTCCATTGATGCCGAGCCCGTAGCTGAGACAGGCACTGGGTTCACTCTCTCTTCTTCCGTATTGCTTTCCACCGTACCCGCCCCAGCCTCGTTCCTACCTGCATGGCTTGCAGCTTCACCAAGGCCCAACACATCCGACTTTAGCTCCACCTGGGGAGCACAAATCGATGCAGAGGTTTCGCCACCTGTCGACAGGTGGTGCGCGGTCCGGACAGCGGCCACGCGTGACGGCCGTCCGGGATTAGCCGGCGGGTCGAAGGTCATCTCGACCTCGAGCACAATTTCCTCCGGGACGGCCGCGGGGGCGACCTCGTCGGGCGTCCGACGGGCGGTCCCCATCCGAGGCCGAGTCTTCCGTCGCGTCCCGCCGGCGCCCGCCGCAGTGTCCGCCGCCGCACGCCCGGCGAGGTCCTTCCTGACCCTGGCGGTCGGCGGCCGAAGCTGAGCTTCGCCATTCGACCCAGAGATGACAGACGAGCGGCGCGGACGCGATGCGTGTTCTGCGGAGGCGGCCGGCGAGCTCTTCTCAAGTTGAAAAGCCTTCAGTTTGGGGTCAGACACTGCGGCATCCACTTTCGTGCTGCTCTCCCCTCTGCCAACCACCGCAGTGCAGCGAGCGGGCTGCACGCGTAACGCGTCAAACGCGTTACACGCCGAACCCGCGACCGGCCCCTGGGGTTCGGCCGTTTGGCTGGAGTTCTCGTTGGTGATGGGTTCATCCTCATTCACCTTCCTGCCCTCCGCGTCGTTCGTGAGTTCCTTGTCCTCAGTGATCTTTCCCGTATGGTTCGTCGCACCGACAGTCGTCTTACCTTTTACTGCTTTACTTCTGGCCTTGGTTATCGCTTGCTCCAAAGCAGCACTGCTGGTCTCAGACATCTTCCTACCGTCTGCAGCTGTACCACGTACTTCTGACGCTACCCTCTCCACCGCAATACTGCTGGTTTCCACCGCCTCTCCTGCATCCCCGATCGCTACCATCGGCACTCTACCACTCCCAGCACTTCTACCCGTCTCAGCCCTCGCTTCCTTCACAGCACCACCAGAATCGCGACTGAAAGCAGGCTTGCCTTCCACAGCACCGTCACAGGACAAGGCACTCGCGTGCGCCTGCCTGGCCGGCGCCGTTCGCTCCGCCGCTAGGGGGCTGGTCACTTCCGGCGGCCGCTCCCCGACACACAGACCCTCCGAGAGCTCGAAGCCGGAGGAGTCGAGGTGGAGGAGGCGACGCTGTGCCGGCGGCGGCGGCACCGGTGGCGGAGCGCCGCTGGCGCCATCTACCGAGTCCCGCCCGCGCTGCGCCTGCTCCGGCTCCTCCAGCGGCCGGAGCGGACTGAGCGGCGGCAGCGTCGACGCCAGCGGCTCCAGCGGCAGCGGCGGCGGCGGCAGGGCTACGGTCACCGGCAGCGGCGGCACGTCCTCCAGCAGCGTCATGTTCCGCAGCAGCTCCCGCACGTCCAGCCGGGTGGCCGGCTGCTGGAGCCGGCGCTCCCACTCAGCCCGCCGCCGCCGCGTCTTCCTCCGCCGCCCGCACACCGGCCCTGGCTGCTGGAAGACGCCCGCCGGCTCCGCCGCGCCACCCGCCGCGAGAGGTCGCTCATCGGCCGCCGAGCGGGCCGGACCGGCCTCCTCAGCGCGGCCAGACTCCGGCGGCGGCGGGGAGGAGGTGGTCGCAGCGGCGGAGGCGTCGGCCGGCGCACTGGCCGGCGCACTCGGAGCCTCAGCCAGCTTCTCAGAGGCGCTCGCGCCGGCACGGTAGGAGGCGGGCTCTGAGAGGGGAAGGGCCGACGTCGCGATGGCGGAGGCAAACCCTGTACTCGAGTCATCACCCGCGAACCCGGCGGTCGAGCCGTCAGCAGAGTCCGCGTCCGAGTCGGAGTCGGACAGCAGGCAGCCGAGCTCGGACAGCGTCATCAGGTGCTGCTGCATGGCCGGCGTTGCCGAGCAGCCGCCGGCCTCCTCTTCAGGACCGGGAGTCGGCGAGGTAGGCCCCGTCGGGGCGTCAGCCGTCGCTAAAGGCTCCTCCGGGTCCTCTGCCGGGTCGACCGCCAGCGGCCCCGCGGGCGCGTCCGCCGATGACGCGGAGTGCTTCGACTCTGGAGAATCATCCGCTGACAGGTCTCCAGAACTGCCCGAGGAGTCTTCTACGAGCACTGGTTTGTCAGACCGCTTCGAGTCATGCGATGTGGGCACTGGGTCATCAAGGTTCCCCGGAGCGAGCACCCGCTCCTCCGCGAGCGCCCGCTCGCCAGGCTTCTCGCGAGAGCCGGGGTTCAGCCGCGGCTCGTCACGCTTCTCCGTGGTACCGCGCCGGAATTCAGAACTCACGGGCGGCTTCGGTGGTTCTGCGACCGCGGTCGGAGAATCCGGCGTACCTGAGGAGGCGGAAGGCGGCGGGACGACACCAGACTTCTCCGGGGAATCAAACACCAGCACGGGACAGCTGGGCAGACCCGGAGAGTCCGCCAAGCCGGAGGCGCCCGCCCGCCGGTCCTGCTTCTCTGGCGACTCGAGCAGCAACACTGCACACGAGGACGTCCCCGGAGGATCGGAGTCGGAGTCGGAGTCGGAGTCGGAGTCGGAGTCGGAGTCGGAGTCGATCCCCGGAGGATCAAATATCGACGCCGGACCTGGTTTCGCCGGGGAGTCGAATACAGACCTGGCGGCAGCAGGGTTCTCCGGAGAGCCTGGCACTGGCACGGGAGCGGTGACCTTGACCGGGGAGGCAAACAGCGGCATCGACGATGTCGGCTCGTGCTCCTCGCCGCCCACACCACCGGCCGGCGCGACGGAGCTGCCATCTGCCGTCGACACCGGCAAGCTGCCATTCGGGCCGCATCCGTCAGCGCTGTTGCCCACAGACGATGCGGAGGTTACAGTCTTTGTGGGAATTTTGTCGCTGGGGTGGCCGTGAACGGGCCTGGTTTCGGCACTGGCTTTCCCGCCGCCCTCTTTCCTCGCCATCGGCAAAGTCGAGTTCAGCTCACTGTCGCCCGATGGCAGCACCGTCATATCCTCGACCCGGCCCTCAGCCAGCGTGACTAGCACGGGCATGCCCTCCAGCAGGTGGTGCGGCACCTGTTCGGCCGGCTGTTCGGCCTGCTGCCCGCCCGGCCGTCCCTCCAGCGGCACAGCGGTGACGGCGGCCACGCTCCTGCCCTGCCAGCCGGGCACCGTCGGTGGCCGCGGAGCCGGTCGTCGAAATGGCGTCGACGCCGGCGTCGGCATCGGCGTCGGCGTCGGCGTCGGCGCCGGCTCCGCCCGGCCCGCGCAGTGTAGCAGGCTGTCCATGAAGCCGCCTCCCAGCGCGGGCTCGCCACTCAGCTCGTCCCCCAGCCCGTCCAGCAGCGGGCTGACGCAGCGGCCGGCCGGAGCCGGCGGCGGCGGCGGCCGCCGGACCGGGGCAGCGACGGCAATTGGCGGCAGGCCGGGGATGGTGATGATGGGAGACGACGCCTGTTTAGCAGCTGGGCCCCCTCCGGATTCAAGACGGCTCTTTCTTTGACTGGCGCTGAGCCGGCTGGATTCCGGCTCAACTTGGATCTGGCCTCGACTCGACACCGACTCGGCCTGCGCTTCCTCTGTTTCTGACTCGGGCTGACCGAGTCGCCGACTCGCTCCTGACTCGGGCCGACGCCGGCCAGGCGCCGCCGCTGCGACTCTGGACGAGTTCGGGTCAGATGCCAGCACCACCCTGGCTCGCGACCTCGTCGAGTTTTTGCGCAGGCTCGCCAAGGGACGTTCGTCACTATCGCTACCATCGGAGTCTTCGCTGGCACTGGCGCCGCCGCTGTTTGAGTCTGCACTGGCGTCGTCTGAGTCTGCACCGCCGGAGGCGCCATCGTCGCCGCTATCCTCCACAGAGGAGCCGGCGCCGCCGCCGCGCTTGTCTGCTTTAGCTGTAGACTGCAGACGGGCAATGCTTTTCTTGCAAGCCCGATATATTTTCAGCTCGCTTTTCCTGAGGCCACCTGTGAGCAGGCACGTTAGGTCAAGTGACCTTCAGATCCTTCAGGTCAGGTCAGGTCAGGTCAGGTCAGGTCAGGTCAGGTCAGGTCAGGTCAGGTTAGGTCAGGTCAGGTCAGGTCAGGTCAGGTCAGGTCAGGTCAGGCGCGCGCAAACATCGCCGTGACAGCACTTCACAAGTCAAGAGCGCTTCATGGCAGGAGCCATGCCAGACTACGCACTTGGGCTTCCTCCGATGAGAAACACCAAGCGCAAACAAGGCTTCGCACTCAACGACATACCCCGTCACAAACACAACGACGCGCAGCTCCAGCGAACACGACGGGTCACCAACAATGCCCGGCGTCCATAACCTCATTTTAACTGCCTTTAACCTCCTTCAACGGACTCCAGTCGTTGCATAACTCTTTCAGGCGCCGCACTGAGCAATTAGCAGCAATAGTTAACGCTCTTTGCCCTGTCTAGTGTACGTCTAACTGCAGCACTCGCGTCCAGCACTGGAAAGCAATCCATTCACGTGAATTATTGAGGCGGATGGTGGGACGCCCGGCACGAGGCACGTTAACAAGGCACAGCTATGTATGCTTGGAACAGTGCATGCTCGTAATTCTGAAGTCGCATCACTCAAGGCGTGCGAAATTTCTGCCCGTCATCACAAAACTTCCTGACAAGAAATAACCGGATGGAAAGCGCACCGGAAAGACAAGGTGAAGTTCCTATCATAATCAAATTAATAAATATAATATCTATAATAATCACATATAATAATAAATATAGCATATGATATCAATATAAAACAATACATAATTAGGAACAAATTACAATCTATAATATAGGAATATTATATAATTATTGATTACCTCTATGACAAATATCATAATTCATATCTGTATAATATATATACATATATATATATATATATATATATATATACATATGCATACATATATATATATATATATATATATATATATATATATATACACATATATATATCTCTCTCTCTCTCTCTCTCTCTCTCTCTCTCTCTCTCTCTCTCTCTCTCTCTCTCTCTCTCTCTCTCTCTCTCTCTCTCTCTCTCTCTCTCTCTCTCTCCCTCTCTCTCTATCTATCTATAATTAGTGCACGTCGGCATCAAATCATCTTCAATGCTTGTTGAAGATCTTGGCAAAAAAAACGCACATTTAATGACCCTGCTTGTGCATGCTCAAGTTTTCGTATTGTATATAAGATCAACCTTCTGTTGATTAGTAAGGGTAAAAAGTAGATAATAGATGTTCATAATCTATAAATTGGCCTGACGTTTCAAAATAACATTTCATTCGCCAAGACACATACACAACAATACGGGCGCAGGCATATTCACAGAAAAGCGCTTAGATACACCCCAATTTAGTTTGATCGTCAAATTGTACCACGCCAAACAGAGGTGTTTGACGCTTTGGGAGGCACAATTATTCCAACTGCGAAACAAATGCTGAAAATAAGGTGTACAGTCTGTGACGATGACACCCATCATGTCTAAATGAGATGACGGGTGACCGAGGGATCGCTTCGCTAATTGAGCTTTGGAGACGGCGCTTTGATGACAGTCTCCAGAACATAGATCTTCTTCCTGTTTGGTGGTGAAGTGGCGATGGCATCGTTTCTGGTGAGGTCGTCTCGGGTGATGTTCCAGCGGTGTTCTTGTCTGATTTGTTCTTTTGGGGCACTCCAGCCGACCGCCTTGAGAGTGTAGTAGTAGTGGCATCAGCACAGTTTGGTGGTTTTAAGAGTCTGCAACCTCTTATGTCACAGCAAAACTTGTAAGCCGCGTTAGTGTGTTTCAAAATGTCCCCTTCCGCGGAAGGTTTTTCTGTCATCACCAGAACGCCGTCTCCAGCACTCAAGAAGCAAACCAACTGAGGCAAACATCGTCAATATAGAAACGCAGTCTGAGATCCATTCCCCGCTTACAAGTTTCCCAACCATATTGGCAACACCCTTAATTGGCAACACCAACAACTTAATATCATTTTCAGTAACAAGGCGACCACCTTCAGTGATGATCAAAACAACACAAGCACGGGCCACATTCAGCATATTTGAGCTCACCTGACTTGGAAAGAACTGGCCCGGTTTCAAGGTTGTGATAGGCAAGGGTTTCTCGTCGGTCCCATATTGTGTTTGCACGTTTTACACAGCTTCTTGAGTAGTGGGGGGTTTCCGCACTTACACAAGAACCAAGCACTTTGCTCATACCCTCAATAGGAGTGTTAAAAAGCTACGGACATTTACGGATCATGCAATTGCAGTTAGATGCATTTATACCCCAATAGAGCGCAAATTTACCGGATGATACATCCGCAAACATAGTATCAAGAGCAGTATCACCAAAAAGGTATATTATCCAAACGTGACAGTAACGAAATGTACACAGAATCCAAATACAACCACATGAGCGGCCCTCATGGGGGGAGACAGAGGTGACACTATATGAAACTGCCCCATACGGCTGTGGTTCGAAACACGGCCACCAGGGCTGTCTCAGGCAGGCTGTGCGACCCACATCCATGTCATCAAAAAAAAGACAAAAAATGTGCTAATTCAAGCACAATGTCTTTCATAAATCCTCAACATACACATTTTCTGTGTAAACATATCATGTACATATATATATATATATATATATATATATATATATATATATATATATATATATATATATATATACATATGTAACTATATTTTACAAAATCAACAGTTTTCAAACCTCAAACTTAAACATTCTGACGTTTAAAACTCCAGCTTGCAAGCGTGGGGCCCAAGCCCGAAGGTGAAAGATTTCCGTGAATTAAACTCAATAAACGCAAGCCCTTCACTGCATGCCATGTGTCAGCCTAACGCGGCGTTGAATCACTGAAACGGGTGATGACTCATTCAAACGGGCCAGTGAATCAGTAGCGGTGAATGGATGCTGACTGCAGTGAGCCTGTCCGTGTTCCAACGATCTGATTTTACCTAGACAGAGCTGAAAATTACATAAGTTGTTGAATGCATTTGCGAGGAACATTATGCACATAGATGAGAAAGCAGTAACAGCCTTATTCCTCGGACAAAAACCAAGAGAATGGACATGTGGATGCGTTGATATTTCGGCGATAAGCATCTTTCGATACGAATAGCAGAAACGAATTCAAAATGTGATTTTCAGGGGGTTTCAGTAAACGTCGTAAGACAACGCAAATTAATATTTCTGACGCACGCAAAAATTACAGCCAAATGTATTTACACCCTGTCGTCGTCGTTGTCATTGGAGCTTTACGACGCACTCAGCTGCTGCTGCATGTGGCGTCGCCTGCCTCCCACCCGGGCGGAAAGGCCGGGTACCGCGGGGAATCGAACCCCGTACCTCCGGTTTTCCATACGCGTAGAGATGAACGCAGGTGCGTTAACCACTACGCCACCCTGCATGAACTACCTTGCACTACGCCACCTTGCGCGCTTCTTAGATGTGCGGGGAGGGAGCGTAGTCGTCATAGTGTAGTGTAGTCGTCGTAGTGTCTCAGCCGTCACAGTTAATAGTGACATCATCAAAGCAGCAAATCATCCATACATATCAATCAGAGAAATGCGCTGAGCGTTCAGCCAGTGATCCCGATGGATTTTCTGCGAGTAGAACAGAATGGCAGACTTCGCGGATGTTCGGGTCGTTTTAAGCTACTTTCCGCTACATTAAACAGGGTACGAGATCTGTGATTCTTCTGACAGGTGGTGACAGTGGCTTCAGCTTACGTAAAGACGGATTTGTGCCGCGAAGAAAACTGAGAAACACTTCAGAACTAAAATATGCATCAAATGTAACTACGAAACACACTTTGACACCCGGCCTTAAAACCCCGCTGGCAAACGGGCACCCAAGCCCAAAAGTGACACATTTCCGTAAATCACGAACTCAATAAACGCGAGCCTTCCACTAAATACCATGCATCACGCCAAACATAGCGTTGAATCACTGAAACGGGGCGGTGAATCATTCAAACGTGCCGGTGAATCATTCACGCGCCGCCGGCCGTGGCTGGCCGCCGATTCCTGCAATATTCACCGACGCCGGCGGGCACAGCCCAGGGATTCGCCCCGCTACACTGGCGCGGACGGCGGCCGCTCGGCAACGGGTCTCCAGCCGGGTCACGCCCACTTCAGTGCTGGGGGCGGGGTAGGAGGGGGGGGGGGGGGGCAAGGCGCTCCGCGCGCCCCCGCTGCCAGGAAGCAAGGATGGTGTTACCAAGTAGAGGAGCACCAACCGTCTGGAACCTAGCGCTTCGTGCTCTCCCACTGTGAGGAAGCAAGGATGGTGCTATCAAGTGGAGGAGCACCGACCGGCTGGAACCGAGTGCTTCGTGCGCTTCTGCTGCGAGGAAGCAAGGATGGTGTTACCAAGTGGAGGAGCACCGACAGGCTGGAACCGAGCGCTTCGTGCTCTCCCACTGCGAGGAAGCAAGGACGGTGTTACCAAGTGGAGGAGCACCGACCGGCTGGAACCGAGGACGCCTCGACCTTCCCAAATGATCCCATCCGACACAGGGATGCCTTTTTCCTGCCCCCAGCGCGACCACTGTGTCCATAATTCAGCGCCACCGTTGGTGTAATGCGTCGTTCAGGTTCAGTGGTTCAGCGCGTTAAAACCGCAAACGTGCCATGGAGACCGAAATCACCGGAAAAATGAGACCGAAAAGCCCGAAGGAGACCCAGATCAGCGAAGAATGTAATCGACCCATGGATAGGAGTCCAAAACTACAAGGGCTCAAAACTGAGAGAGCAGGAAATCGTCCGTAAATATGAATACAGGCAACCCAAATCTTGATTTTGACACACTGACGTGATTCAGGGCACCTTGCAACGTTCACAGCTATTCAAACCCCCAAAATAGCTGCAGCGCTTTCACCACAATGTCCGTTGTAAGCGCCGCGTTCAATAAACGGCCGAATCCGACCACCCTAGCGGCGACGGCGGCGGCGGCAGCGGCCCTGGCAACATACGGCAAACAGGGGCGACCCAGCCCGGCCCGAGGGAGCGACCCAGCGACTCAGCTCCACACCGGGTGACCCGCACACCGCCGCCCCGACAACGGCCGCTGGCGGCCGGGCGGAGCGGGGTGCGGTGGAGCCGGGCGGCGCGGCGGTGGAGCGGGGCGCGGTAGAGACGGGCGGTGCGGCGGCGGAGCAGGGTGGTGGAGCCGGGCGGCAGCGGTGGAGCGGGGCGCGGTAGAGACGGGCGGTGCGGCGGCGGAGCAGGGTGGTGAAGCCGGGCGGCGCGGCGGTGGAGCGGGGTGCGGTGGAGCCGGGCGACGCGGCGGTGGAGCGGGGCGCAGCGGAGCCGAACGGCGCGGCGGTGGAGCGGGGCGCGGTAGAGACGGGCGGTGCGGCGGCGGAGCGGGGTGGTGGAGCCGGGCGGCGCAGCGGCAGAGCGGGGTGTGGTGGAGCCAGGCGGCGCGGCGGTGGAGCGGCCCGGGCTGGCTGTGTACAACGTGCCGCCACACTGAGGGCGTGTTTGTTCGGCCGGTGTCTGTCCCGGGGGAGCCCTGAAGTGAGCCTCGCGCAGCGGGCGCTGCCGGCCGTTTCGCTGCGCCGGCAAAAGGTCCGATAGCTCCCCGAGGTATTTTGCGCTTACGGTGTGCGGAAATGTGCCGACATTGCCGCTGGGTGGTATGTGTATGCTAATGAAGATAGGGGGCACAGACGTAATTGACGAATAATAAGCATAGGTGCATGGACACACGCTGTTCGCGAGGCAGATTCTAGCTAGTTGTGCTACTATGCTGGGCCATGCTACCAACATACATACACGCACAATGCAAACATACACAAACAATACAAACATACGCAAACGGATCATGTGGACCGGGTGCCGTGCTCGCCGCTTCGGACCGCTCTTTCCCACGCACCGGCGGCGCGACGCCGGCGTCATCACGCCGGCGTGGCGTGAGTCCGGAGATCGAGTGATCACTGAGCATGGCGTGACCGGGCGGACTCCGCACGCGGTCGTCACGCCACGACAAACGAGCGCCGCCCCCTCCGCTCGCGTGGCGCCGCACGCGGCTCACGCCTCCGTGTTGCCTCTCACTGGACCTGTTGACGCCACCCACCGCTGCCGTCACGAACTCGCCATACACTCACCAACTCGTCACGAACTCGCCACGTAGAGGGCGGAAGCGGAGGTGGGGCGGCTTTTTTGGTAGGGACGAGGGGGGGGGGGGGGGGCGGGAGGAAGATAAATTGAACAGCTCGGGCCTTCTCGTGCCCGGATATCGCCGTCCGATCGCGGCGGAAGACACCAACACGGAGCCGGTGGCAAGCGCCGTCCTCGCTCTTGAGTCACGTGGTTTACCACCAGCACGGGGACGGGTGACCGGTCGGATACGCACGCTCGGGCGGGGAAGGGGAGGGGTAACCTGATCCTTCGGAGGTGTCAAAAGGTAGACAGCTGAGGCGCCAAAGGCAGGTGAACAACTATGAGAACTAATTTGATCCTTCGGAGGTGTCAAAAGGTAGATAGCTGAGGCGCCAAAGGCTGGCGATCAACTATGAGAACTAATTTGATCCTTCGGAGGTGTCAAAAGGTAGACAGCTGAGGCGCCGAAGGCTGGTGAACAACTATGAGAACTAATTTGCGTGGAATTCTTACATCTAAATAAGTTCTCCCTAATTAATAACCTCAAATAATAAACTAACTAATTCTCCTAAAGGACAGGTAAGAAATCCGTAAACGCCTGCGACCAACAAATGCGGAATGAGCGTCAAACACTACCCCTTAACAAGTTTTCAGTAAAAAAGTGTTTGGATTTGTCCTTGGTATCATCTGAATAACCGATCCCAGTGCCAATGGCCAACCCCAAACTGTACTCTAATTTCAGTTATCTAACCGTCTACGCGACTCACCCATATCTGTATAACTTCGTCTAAAACGCCGTTGCATTAGCTAAAAGGCTTCCCCACAAATTGCCCTCGCTTGATGCAACAATGGCTTGCAACAATGGCCCGACTTTAACCGGGCACAGACCAGCGTCCCTAAAATATGTATCTTGTCTTTTGCATAAGATCGGTTATTAATTTGTCTACAGCAGCAAAAGTTGGCGCCAACATGCTGTACCACTCGGATATTAGTTGGGATAAAAAACGTAGATGGTGGGTAACGTAATGGTAAAAGCTCGTAAAAACGTAAAAACGTAGGTAAAAAAACGTACGTATGCCTAAAAATGTAAAACGTAAAACAGATAGTCAAAACGTAAAAACGTAGGTCAAGTCGATGCTCAGTCCAACAGGACTGAGCAAAAAACAAACCCAAGCATGTGCTGGACCACCAAGTCCACGACACCACTAAGGACCACGGAGTCCACGGCAGAGTGGAAACGCTTCCTGGGCGGTGACCGTGGCTCTGAACCGGAAGATCCCGGCGCAGACTCCGGGAGTCATCGGCGGCTTTTGATCCGAACTAGCCCCTCCCCCCCCCCCTCTCCCCACCGAGCCTCACCACTCCACAGAGCCTTCCTCTTCCCCTCTTGCCGCTCTCCCAGACCTGTCCGTCCTCCCCCGGTGAACTCCCTGGTTCCCTCTCCCGCCCGTCAGCCGCCGGTCTTCGCGACGCTCTTACCCTCTCCCCCCGTCGATCGTGATCCGGCGTTTTTCTCGACGCTCTCCCACGCCACCATGACCCAACGTTCCTCTCGATACTCTCCGCCCGCTCTCCTTCCGCCGTGACCCATCGTTCTCTGCCGTCCACGCCCTTCTCCACTGCCACCCACCGTTCTCCTCACCCCGTCTCCCTACCCTGTCTCAGCCGTCACCTACCGTTCTGCTGGGCCCCTCTCCCTAACACGCCTCAGCCGTCACCTACCGTTTTGCTGGGACCCTCTACCTAACGCGTCTCAGCCGTCACCTAGTGTTCTGCTGGGCCCCCCTACGTAACCCGTCTCAGCCGTCACCTGCCGTTCTTCTGGGCCCCCCCTACCTTACCCGTCTCAGCCGTCATCTACCACTCTGCTGGGCCCCTCTACGTAACCCGTCTCAGCCGTCACCTGCCGTTCTCCTCGCCCTTTTTCCCTACCCTGTCTCAGCCGTCACCTACCGTTCTTCTGGGCCCGCTCTGCGAACATGACGGCGTGCTGCAGGAGCCGCCGCTGCTCCTCGCGGTGTTTCTTCTCCAGCGCCCGCACCACGGTCTGGCGGCGCTTCTCTGCAACAGGACATGCCGGTCAGATGGGGTGAGGTCGGGGGGAGGGGGAGGGGGGGGGCGTCGACGAAACAGCGACGCTTATATAGCGCTGCTGATCATTTTAACGTTGCAACATTGTTGTACCATTGCCACAGAAGAGCGACTGACATACGCAATATAATGCATATACATATACATATATATATATATATATATATATATATATATATATATATATATAATGCATAATAAGGCATAACAAATAATGCAATATTTCCTTTGAATATGCGGAAATGCGTTTCAATCGTCCGCGTCTACCGGCTGCCGGTGTTGGCGAATCGTTTGCAATTGAACTCCGGCATGACAGCTGACATTTAGGTGGCACAGCGGCATTCATTCAAGACGCGGAGTTAAACGGAAAGCGGCTCTGAACTTTCCTTGAATGATAGCTAACACGGGCAGCCTGGTGCAATTATAAACGACGGGGTCGATGCACGTCTACGTCGTGAAAACACGCGCAACCGGTCTGGGCCAGCCAAACGGGGGTCCGGCGGGGGCCCGGCACCTCTGACAGTGCGGCAGACCGCGGCCGGCCCTCAGACACCAGTCTGGGCCAGGTGATGGGGGCCCGGCACCTCTGACACTGGAGCAGGCTGCTGCCGGCCCTCAGATACCAGTCTGGACCAGCTGATGGGGGGCCGGCACCTCTGACAGTGCGGCAGACTACGGTCGGCTGTCAGCCACCCCACCCTCATCCGCCCGCAGCAAAACAGCATGTGGAACGCCGACAAAACGCAGCAAAATCCTATGCCATGGCCATATACAATCCTCTCCCACCTGCTCGCTTGAAATTATGGATAGTTTAGGCCTCACATAACATGCTAAGGATCGTTGGATGTGTTCCGGTCGCGTAAACCAAGCACCGCGAACGCAGTCCAACAGACATTATTTCCCCTGGCTTTCTATCCAGCCATGACTGCAGACATTGTCGTCATGCCTCACGCCATCACCCAGCCACTCAGCGAGCTCGCCGCTCCAGGACCCCTCACCAGACGACCGTTTCGTGCCCGTCCAGCCTCCTTCCGACAGCCATAAATCTATTCACATTCCTGACCGCCTGGCGAGTGCCGCTGCAGACCCGCCGCCGGCCTGCAGCCCAGCCCGATCGACCGCCGGAGTCGGCACCCGCGCCCGGCGCCTCCAGCCGCGTCCACCTAACGTGGCGTGCCCCGACACAAAGCTGTCGTACCAAGGGGAGGCGCAGCCCGGCGGCGCGGGGTTCGGGCCGCCGGACAGGTCGCGGCGGCGCGGTACCAAGCAGTGCGATGACAGCAGCTCGCGCCAAAGGTCAGAGGTCGCCGCCAGGTCACCGGAAGCGGCGCTAATCGCGGCGCGGCCCGGGAGGCACGGTGCGGTGACCAAACGGCGCCATCGCAGGCCGCACAGTCGCAGGCGTCGCCTTTGAAGAGGCGCAGGTCACGCAAAGGTCGCGCGACGCCGCCGGCAGCCGAGGGGCAAACTTTGCCGTCTGCGGCCCGCCCCTCGCGGAGTTCAGGGTCGGAGACTGGCTAATGGAGGGGCGCGTCCCAGGCTGATGGAGCGCGGTGATGGTGGTGACAGGGTTAGAGACACGGGGAGGAGCAGACACACGCCAGACGCCCGGCCAGCGCTGGTCACGGGGAGGGATGTGCAGGGGGTACAAGTCAGTCAAACCGGACAGCCATACGGGTCAGGGGTCAGACTGGATGCCTCCACAGGTCAGGGGTCAGACCGGACACCTCTACAGGTCAGGGTCAGACCGGACACCTCTTCAGGCCAGGGGTCAGACCGGACACCTCTACAGGTCAGGGTCAGACCGGACACCTCTACAGGTCAGGGTCAGACCGCACACCTCTTCAGGTCAGGGTCAGACCGGACACCTCTACAGGCCAGGGGTCAGACCGGACACCTCTACAGGTCAGGGTCAGACCGGACACCTCTACAGGTCAGGGTCAGACCGCACACCTCTTCAGGTCAGGGTCAGACCGGACACCTCTACAGGTCAGGGTGAGACCGGACACCTCTACAGGCCAGGGTCAGACCGGACACCTCTACAGGTCAGGGTCAGACCGGACACCTCTCCAGGTCAGGGTCAGACCGGACACCTCTACAGGTCAGGGTGAGACCGGACACCTCTACAGGTCAGGGTGAGACCGGACACCTCTACAGGCCAGGGTCAGACCGGACACCTCTACAGGTCGGAGGACGAGGCGGACGTCGGAGCCGCGCCCCCAAATCGACCGGGCTGCGCCAGCGGCGGCCGCCGCTCCAGTCGGATCGACCGCCCTGGCAGTCCGCCGGAGTCGCCTGTCCGGAGCGGCGACCGGCTCCGCTCCTGGCTCGGCCCCGCCAGGTCAGGTCAGGGCAGGACCGGTCAGGGCAGGTCGGGCAGGGCAGAGCAGAACAGGACAAGGCAGGTTAGGTCAGGTCAGGTCAAGGGCAGGTCAGGGCAGGGCAAGTGGTGGCGAGGCGGGCCTGCACGACCGCGGGCGCTGGTGACCAGTGCGGCCGCTTCGGGTGGTGACTCGCGGTGGCGTCAGTGATCAGTGACTGGTGAGGGAGGCGCGGTGGCGGCAGGTGCACCGCCGTCCGCGCGAGCTCACCGACCTCACGCCAGCACAGACTCAGCACCGCGGCGTCAGAGACCAGACCCGACGGCGCCACACCCGCCTCTAGAGGGCGCCGCCCGGCGGCCGGGCCCGATGTCCGCGACCGGCGCCGCCCGCCGGCGCTGAGGACGCCATGAGGACCGCGCGGCATCCGGGTCCGCCGCCGCCGCTGCTGCTGGCGCTGGCGGTGCTGCTGGCGGCGGCCGGCGCCCTGCGGCTCCCAGGGCCGGCCGAGGAGGCGTCCCCGGCCGAGGACGCGGAGGGCAGCGGCGGCCGGCCGATCTGGGACGACGACGAGGACGGCCGGCCGTCCTCGGAGGACGACGGCCGAATGTCGGACGCCGCGCGCTTCCGGGACGAGCTGATCTGGGACGCCGAGCGCCAGCTGGAGAGGGCGCGCGCCGCCGCGGCCGGCGAGGCGGCCAAGGCGGCGGCCTCGACGCCCGTCGGCAGAGCGAGCAACGACTCCGCCGCCGTCCTCGGCGCCAGGGACGACCTGTACTTCCAGGAGGCTGACACCGCCGTCGCTACGACGACAGCCCCCGCCCAGAGCGTCTCCCGGGCGCATGAGGGGAGCTCCCCCACGGCCGCCCCTGTCTCAGACGGCCAGGCGCCTGCGGAGAGCAGCGGCGTCGTTCCGGCGGCGGAGCGGGTCTCCGGCGCCGGCGACACGACGGCGAACGCCACGGAGGCCGCCGCCGCCGCCGCCGACGCCGCCGGGGGCCGGGCGGTCGGCGCGTCGGCAGAGCCGACGGCGCGCGACGCGGCCACGAGCGGGTCGCAGGCGCCTCTGTCCGGGGCAGCCGGGAACACATCGGAGGTGAGCGCCGCTGCCGCCGATGCGACGGCCGACAGCGAGACGATGAAGGCCTCAGACGGCGGGGCGGCTCTGGCCGGGGGGAAGGTGGCCGGGAATGCAGACGACTCAGGAGGAGCATCACGCCGCTCTCACGGCGCGCGAGCCGAAAATGTATCTGAAGCGCTGTTGATGAACACAACACTTACAGCCGTCAACAGCTCTAAAGCAGGTATGGAACCGTCTGATATAGCAGCTGTGAATGTGTCTGGAATCCCATTCACCCACACGATGCTCAGTTTTGCCGATAACAGTTCAGAAGAGACAAAATCGGAGAGTGAAGCGGGCAGCAGCGCCGGCCGGGACTTTGACAAAGTCCAAGGAAGTATGGCAATCGCTCAGACGAACGAAACGGAAACAACAACGATATCAAAGTCCAGCGGGGACGAAGTACAAACAACCAGAGTAGACACGAGCGAACTTCCAGCCGAGGCGGCAAATATCAACTCGACGGACTTCAGCGATAACGTGACGTCATCCAATGACAATGCGCCCACATCGGCATCGCCCCAAAACCCAGTTAATTTGACCGTCGAGGAGACGACTGCCTTCGGCGCTCCAGTCCAGGAGGCGTCCACCCTGACCCCAGGCGACAGGACAGCCGTCAGCGCCTCCACTCCGCCCGTCACGGTGCGCCCACCGCTGCCCTCTCCCGGCGCGCTGCGCCTCCACCACGCGAAAGCCGCCTACGACCCCGCCGCGGTCTCCTCCAAGGGGCCAGCTCTCTCCGCGGGCAGCCGGGACCTGCCGGCAGCGGCGTCCGTGGCGCAGGTCCCCCCCGGCGAGCCGGCCTGCCTGCGCCAGTGTCGCGCCCTGCTGGCCGGCCTGCGCCTGCGCGTCCAGCCGCCGCGCCTGCTGGTGGCCGCCGGCGCCAACATCAGCCTGCAGTGCGAGCTGCGCGCGCGGCCCGGCCTGCTGGCCGACCTCGGCTGGACGCTGCGCCGCGGCCCGGCCGCAGCCTGCCAGCTCACGCCCGGCCCGTGGCTCGGCCAGGCCGACCGAGGCGCCGCCGGCCTCCGGCCCTGCACGGGCTTCGGCGACGCGGCGCAGATCTACTACGTCAACCAGACGCTGACCGAGTCCAGGTGGGTCAGGGGAGGTGAGGTGATCAGGTCAGATCAGGGGGAGGTGAGGGATGGGGGGGGGGTCAGGGGGATGTGAGGAATGGGGGGTGGGTGGGTCAGGGGAGGTGAGGACTGGGGATGGGGAGAGGTGAGGGATGGGGGGGGGGGTTCAGGGGAGGTGAGGAATGGGGATCGGGAAAGGCGAGGGATGCAGTCGGACGCGGGACGGGGGAAGCCGCATCCGCCGCTATACAAAGCTCCCTCACAACACGACGCGACTTACCCGCTTGTGAAGACAGAGGAGAGGCTTCGACCCATCCGATCGCGAAAGCTTATACGGGTCGGCAGATGATCACACCGGCCCAAATGCTTCCGCGTGGACACACCTTTATCCAGAAACGTCCATTTGAGCGCGACTGAAAATGACCGTCGCTATCGACGCACCCCTCAGTG